AAGTTCATTCAAGGGTGAAGTTACTGTACTAAAATTCTTAATGAACCTATAGTAGAAACTTGCAAGACCATAAAAACTTCTTACCTCACTTACACTTTTAGGTGTAGGCCAATCTTTTATAGCCTTCACTTTCTCCTCATCAACCTCAACAGCATTAGATGAAACTACAAACCCAAGAAAGTTAACTTTTTCCATGCAAAACCTACGTTTCTTTAAATATACATACAAACATTCGTTTCTTAAAGTAGTCAAAATATTTCGTAAATGGGTAATATGGTCATCTAAAGATTTAGAGTAAACAAGGATGTCATCAAAATAAACAACGACAAACTTACCTAAGTATTCTCATAAGACATGGTTCATTAGTATCATGAATGTAGTAGGTGCATTATTTCATCCAAAAGGCATAACAAACCATTCATAAAGACCATACTTAGTTTTAAAAGTTGTTTTCCACCCATCCCCAATATGCTTGCGAATTTGATAATAACCCGATTTTAAATCAATCTTAGTAAAAAGACTGCATCCATGCAACTCATCAAGCATATCATCTAATCTAGGAATTGGATGTCTATACTTTATAGTTATCTTGTTTATAGCCCTACAATCAACACACACGCCAAGAACCATCTTTCTTAGGTACAAAAATAAATGGAACAGAACAAGAACTCAAACTTTCACATACATACTATTAAAGATCACGTGTTTGTTTAGATGACTGTCCGTTAGTATCTGATTAAATCTTCATATAGTTAGGAGTTGATTTAGTTTTTGATTTGCTTACTGGTTTGTTACCAAATTTTCTGCAAATTTTTAGGTAGATTTTCTAAATATCTTTTTGTAATCTATGTATATATATAAAGCCTTCTTACTCTTCATTATACAATCTTCTCATCAACCATTCAACCACTTACTCTTTCACTAACAAATTGGTATCAGAGTCGTCTTCTTAAGGGATCTGTGAGATCAAAATGGGAGGAGAATCCAGTTTTTCAACTGTTGCACCACCCGTCTTTGATAGAGACAATTATCAAATGTGGGCAGTTCGTATGGAGACTTATCTAGAGGCTTTGGATCTTTGGGAAGCAATAGAAGAGGATTACGAGGTCCCTCCACTTCCAGCAAATCCTACTATAGCACAAATCAAAGCACAGAACGAAAAGAAGACAAGAAAACCAAAGGTAAAAGCTTGCTTATTTGCCGCTGTATCTCAAATGATCTTCATACAAATAATGTCCCTTAAAACAACAAATGAAATCTGGGATTATCTCAAGAGTACTCTGACAGACTTCTTAGCATTGCCAACAAGGTGAGATTGTTTGGTTATAGGTTAAATGGTTCCAGGATCGTTGAAAAGCTGGTCACTGTTCCAGAGAAGTTTGAAGCCACCATTACTACTCTAGAGAACATCAAAGACCTATCAAAGATTTCTCTTACAGCTTGAATGCTTTACAAGCACAAGAGCAAAGGAGGTCTATGAGGCAAGAAGGGGTAATTGAAGGTGCCTTACCTGTTAGGCATCAAGACAATAGCAGGTATAAAAACAAGAAAATTTTCAAAAACCAATCGACAAACGGAGATTCATCTGTAAATTATCAGAAGACAAAAGGAGGAAGTTCCAAAAAATCCTATCCACCTTGCCGCCATTGTGAGAAAGAAAGGTCATCCACCATACTATTAGGATTTATGCCCTAAAGCCTTGTAATTAATTATTTAGTTTTTAAAAATAATTTTTATTATTTTATTTGTAATTTAATTGTTATTCATGGTATGAAAATCCAAGGTTATTAATGTAATCTTGAACAATATGTGGTTGACATACAAGAGGATCGTGTTCAAGTAATAACCTAAAGAGTACATAGTATATGGATAAGGTTAGGTGCTTTATCCGGGTAACACTATTGATACGGCTCACTTTGTAATCGTTACAAATGATTTGATCCAAATCGTTCATGTGGAGACATGTAAGTGGAGGTATCCTATACAATGAGTTTGTATAAGACTGGACCAAGAAATATTTAATCTCTCTTTATAAATCCGTTAATTAAGAAGATTAATTTTTCACATGATGATCATATGCGACTTTATCTTAATCCTGAGTGAGTTATGAACTCCTGCCTATGAGGGCTTGTCCTTTAAGTTACATGGGTGAGAATGACTCTTTTAGCTGATTCAATATGCCTACCATTTTAGGGACTTGACCAAATAGGGAGTTGGGAACATAATATCACGAGATTGAATTCAATCCTTTCCATATTAGGAAAGGAGATGAGTTGTTCTTTAAGTATTGATTTCGAGACTTGAACAATGGGGCCCCACCCTCTTGTTGGCCCGAGAGGGACTTGGTTTATGATTGGATCATAAACAAATTGTTCATTAGAAAATCAGTGGTACTTAAGGTGAAAGATGCAATTACAGGGGTAAAAGGGACTTTTGACCCAGTTGTAATTATGAACAACTCGTGAAAGATCGACTTGCTTATAATGATTATATTAATGGACATAACTTATCCTACCGTGCATAAGAGTCCAACTCTAGGTCGATAGTGGAGTGAGGTAGAGTTAATGAATAAAAATTGATTAATTAAAGAGTTTAATTAATTAATTTTATATCATTCGAGCTTAATCGGTAGGTCCATAAGGTCCCCTTACTAGCTCATAGTAACGCTAAAAGGTTCAATTTATTTAAAAGAAAAGTGGAAGTATTCAAATTGATATTTAATATATTAGATATATTAAATATAAAGAAGAAAATAAATTTAATTTGAAATGTCAAATTAATATTTAATGTATTATATATATTAAATAAATAGAGAAAATATATTTAATTTGAAGGGTTCAAATTAATATTTAATATATTAGATATATTAAAGAAAAAATATATTTATGGTATTTGATACAATTAAATATTAAATAAAAATATATTTGAAATTTGAATGAGATTCAAATTAGTTAAATATATATTAGGATATCTTATAATATCTAAATATGATTTGTATAAGGTATAATATCCTAATATATTAAATATGCAAATATATTATTTGGTAAATATTCTCCGAGAGTCCCTATAAATAGGACCTTCGGGTTGAAGCGATATCAATCTCTCCAACTTTCTCTAGGGAATGAAATTATATCTCTAGAGAATTCTCGAAACTCTTTCTTCTTCTCCAATCCCTTTGGGATTTTCTTTCAAGAGGCTTCCACAAGCCTTGACCTTGTGTTCAAGTCATAGCAAGGAAGATCTTGTGGAATGTTCAAGAACTTCTACATGGTTGGAATACTGTGAGGAGTCTTGCAAGCTAGGGTTTCTACAAAGGTAGAGTTCTTACTCTTCTATTTATTGCTTTGTTTTAATTCTTAATAAAAATCAAAACGGTTCTTAATGCTTCCGCTACTTGGATGAAGAGTTCAATCCCTTCACATACAAGTGTTGGAGAAGACCTGATGCCTTATTCTCTAAACGCAATCAACTTGGACATGAAGCTGTGATCTGCAAAGTCAAAGATCAGGTGAAAGAAGTAGATGCACAGGTAGTTGATCAAGAAGAAGAAGACCAATTGTTTGTGGTCACTTGTTCCTCAGGCAAAGAATCAAGCGAGAGCTGGTTGATTGATAGTGGGTGCACAAATCCCATGACATATGACAAGGAGTTTTTTTAGGAATTAAGAGACAAGGAAGTCAAAAGAGTGAGGATTGACAATGATGAACACTTGGAAGTCAAGGGAAAAGACACAGTAGTTATAACAAGGTATGAAGGTACAAAATTTATTCCAGATGTTATATTTGTACCTAAAATTGACCAAAATCTCTTAAGCGTTGGTCAGTTACTTGATAAAGGCTATAAAGTTTTGTTTGAGAGTAAGCAGTGCTTGATCAAAAATGCTAGTGGCAAAGACTTGTTCAATGTCAAAATGAATGGAAAAAGCTTCGCTCTAAATCTGATGGAGAAATAACAGATGACCTTTATATCTAGAGCTAGTGCCACTGAGATTTGAAACAAAAGACTTAGGCACTTTCATCATCGAGGTTTGCTTCAGAGGCAGTCAAAGAAGCTAGTAGAAGGACTCGCTAACATTGATGATGACATGTCTCCTTGTTGTACTTGTAATTTTGGGAAGCAACATAGACAACCCTTTCCTAAACAGGCATGGAGAGCCTAAAAAAATGTGTTGGATTGATGATCTTTGTGGTCCTCAGCGAACACCATCATTAAATGGTAATCTTTATTACATTGTTTTTATTGATGATCTAACAAGAATGTGTTGGATCTTCTTGCTGAAGCAAAAGTCAGAAGTTCGGGTGAATTTTGGAAATTCAAAGCCAAAGTTGAGAATGAAAGTGCATGCTTGATTTAGACTATAAGATCAGATAACGGCAAGGAGTACACTTCAGAAACTTTCAACAGGTTTTGTGAAGAGGCTGGAATTGAACATCAATTGATAGCACCATACACTCCTCAACAGTATGATGTCACTAAAAGGAGAGATAGATTCATAATGGAGATGACGAGATGCATGCTTCATGAGAAGGATATTTCAAAACGTTTTTAGGGAAAAACAGCAAACACTGTTATGTGCTTGCAAAATCGAATTTCAACAAAAGCTGTGAAGGACCTAACACCGTTTGAAGTTTGGTATGGTTACAAACCTTCTTTAAAGTTCCTTAGAGTATTTGGGTCTCTTTGCTTCACTTATATTCCACAGATCAAGCGTGGTAAGCTTGACAAAAAGGCAGAAGTTGACATCTTTGTTAGGTATACCAGTATATCCAAAGCTTACAGAGGTTTTCAACCACACACTAGCCGTGTTATTGTGAGCCGAGATGTTCATTTTGCTGGAAATGAGCAACGGAATTGGGAAGAACTGACGAAGGTGAATCAAATTTCTAATGCACCAAACAATTTAATCTTTGGTAGCATAGAAGAATCTGAAGATAAATGACAAGAAGAATCTGAAGATGAACGACAAGATGCTTTGGTTGATGATACACCTGTCAGAGGAGGAGTTTTCGGTGATCGAGAAAAACAAAACCTGGGAGTTGGTTGATCGACCTCTAAACAGAAAAATAATTGGAGTAAGATGGGTGTTCAGGAAAAAGCTTGGAGTTCACAACATCTAAACAAGAGGAGTGTTAAAGATCACGTGTTTGTTTAGATTGCTCTCAATTAGTATCTGATTAAATCTCCATATAGTTAGTTGATTTAGTTTTTGATTTGTTTACTGGTTTGTTACTAGATTTTCTAAATATCATTTTCTATTCTCTATATATAGAGCCTTCTTGCTATTCATAATACAATCTTCTCATCAACAATTCAATCACTCACTCTTTCACTACCCTTTAGCAACGAGTTCACTCACCTTCCTTTGTATCTCTTCAGCCTCCTTTGGATTAGTCTTATATGCTGGTCAGTTTGGAATGGGCACACCAGAAATGAAGTCAATCTTGTGTTCAATCCCTCTAAGTGGTGGCAAATTACTAGGCATCTCCTAGAAAAATAAATCTTCAAACTCTTGCAAAAGCACAACAAAATCACTAGGCAAGGAAGGGTTAAGCGTGTTAGTAAAATAACAAGACCTCATGCACATAATTACAAAAATAGTCCGGTTAGAGAGAAAAACATTCCTAGCCTCACTTGATCTAACATACAAGCTTACTGATTTGGTTTTTCTCTCTTTTTTTTTCTCTAGGTTGAGTGCTACTCTCTTGCTTTTTACTCAAGCTCTTTTTTCACTTGATTCTTTTTCAATCTCTGCTTTTGCATCAGCCTCTTGCCTTTTCTTTTCAAGTTTGCAATGATCAATAAATATATCTTTTGGAGGCAATGGAACAAGAGTATCAATTTGCATACCCATCATACATTACCCGACAATCAAATTGTCAAGGCGTCCCCAGTAGTAAATCTCCAACATGCATGGATACAACATCACATAAAACATCAACATATTTTCCAATAGTAAAAGAAACAAGAGTTTGTTGAGTTACCCGTACTTCCCCACGATCATTTAACCATTGAAGCTTGTAGGGTCTTAGATATGGTTGTCTTTAAATTAAGTCTTTTGACCAGAATAGAACTCACAACATTGGTGCAACTGCTGCTATCAATGACAAAACTACAAGGTACATATTGAACAAGACACCGAGTTTGAAATAAGTTCTCTCGTTGGTCTTGGTCATCCTCCTTAATGTGGGTGCTTAGAGCTCGTCAAGTAATCAAAGATATATGTGTAGGGTCCTTTTCACTAAACTCCTCACTCTCATCATTTTCCTCATTTATGTCGTCATGTGCCTCTTCATTTATAATAATTTCTCCCTCCTTGATGGTCATAACTCTTGTATTTGGGCAATCTCTCCTATAGTGTATTACCCCTTGACATCTCCAACCCTTTAAATCCCTATTTCGAACATTAGACTTTTCTACTTCTTCTTTCCCTATTCTAGAACTCTCACCTTTCTCAAATTTAGTTTGAGGATTCTCACTAATCTCTTGATTTCTATGCTTATAATCAATGTTCTTACTATCCTTTTACCATGTAGAAGTAGAATTGAAAAAAGTTTTAGAAGAATACCGTTGAGACCTTCGTTGGATTTGCCTCTCGATCTTAACTGCAATGTGCAATAACTCCTTGATATCAGAATAAGGCTGTAAATCAGTCCTGTCTGCTATCTCTGTTTAACCCATGAGAGCCTCCATGTCCTCATTGAGATCAAGTCAATCCATCAATGTATCCATCTCCTTGTAATAATCCTCCACAGGTTTGCATCCTTGTTTCAATGCTTGAAGCTTTTGTGCCATGTCCCGTTGAAAATATTGTTGAACAAGACGCTTCCTCATGGACTCTTTGAACTCGTACCATGAATCAATTGGTGCTTTAAGATTTCTTCTCCTATTTGACATCAATTTATCCCACCAAATTTGAGCATATTGTTTGAATTAAGCAATACATAACAATACCTTCTTTTCATCACTAAAATTATGACAGTTGAACACTGACTCCACCATTTTCTCCCATTCAAGGTACTCCTCTGGATCGGTTTTGCCATAAAACTTGGGAAGTTTTAATTTAATGCTCCCCACGTTACGATCAATTCTATCATCATAAGGAACTCATTGTTGTAAATTATGATACCTTCTTCCATGGTCTCTCCCTCGCATCAAGCCACGACCAACCGCATGTGGATTATCCTCGTGTTGATCATAATTGTCTCCCTCATATTGATCAGTAGATTGTGCAGGTAGAGGAATTCTTTGTCGAGCTTGATTTTGAATCTTCAATCTTTCTATTCGATCTATCAACTCTTCTATTCCTCAAATTAGTCTTTCCATGGTTCATTGTTGTGCTTCTCTCAATCGTGCATTAGTAATGTTAGGATTGTTGTCTGGATTTTCTATGCTACAAAAGAAAGTTAAAAGGAAAAAAAAAAAAAAAGAGACCTCACAAGCACTACCTCACGTGTGTTCATTCATAAATGTAGTTCACTCGTGTTTAGCACTCAACACTCGAATCAATGTATCACTCCCTTACAAACTCTCCAATTGAGCACACACAAATCACACTCCAAACAAATTGGGATGTGAGACAAGCTATGTTATAGAACTAAGTGCAATTCAAAGTGAATAGACAACACACTCAACACATAAACATAAGTATTAAAGGAGCAATCCGAATAACGACAAAGAAACAAATTAAAGAAAGAAAATGAATAAGGACTAATTTAGACTTAGTAACATATAAGAGTTACATATAATAATCAAAAGGAAAAAGAAAAATAAACATTTAACATCAATAATTTTTTTTTTCCTTCTCCAACTAATTGACAAAATCCAATCAATTTACGAACAAGAAAATTAATTTAGAAGATCTTAAATAAGAAAAATGTTGATAAGATTGAGATCTAACACATTGTGAACATGCTACACAAACTCAAAAAAAAAAAAATAATAATAATAATAATAATAATATATATATATATATATATATACGAGAATCAAAAGAGATAAATGCAAGGAAAAATATATTCGATCTTGAGCGTAAAGCTCTGATACCAAATGATATGAAATCAAGCCAAAGAAATGTTGGCTTTTTCGCCTTAATCTCAAATTAATTAATTAATTGATGTTTTGATGATAACAAACCTACCTTCAATTATTCACAATTCTCAGTATTTTTGTCCACAGTGTAAGGTTGGGAATAACGATTTCAACGTCTTTTTTGGTTCACTCAAATTAGAGATAAAACGAAGAAGTTCCAGTTAAAACAAATACCTGACGTGATGATGTGGTGGCAAAATTGACATCATGGACCAATCAAATTCAAAACAAGATATCTCGGGGGAGTCGCGGCTGATCTACCTCATGGATGGATAGATAAATGTTTGGATTTCTGCGATTATTTTTTGACAGCGGTTGCTGAATATCAAAAACTTATTACACAAAATCCTATTTTTTTAGAACGAGTTGAGGGAGTAGGCATTATTTCTGGAGAAGAGGTAATAAATTGGGGGTTATCAGGACCAATGCTGCGAGCTTCCGGAATACCATGGGATCTTCGTAAAGTTGATCATTATGAGTGTTATGACGAATTTGATTGGGAAGTTCAGTGGCAAAAAGAAGGAGATTCATTAGCTCGTTATTTAGTCAGACTTGGTGAGATGACGGAATCCATAAAAATTATTCAACAAGCTTTGAAAGGAATTCCAGGGGACCTTATGAAAATTTAGAAATACGATCTTTTGATCGAGGACAGTCTCCGGAATGGAATGACTTTGACTATCGATTCATTAGTAAAAAACCTTCGCCAACTTTTGAATTGGCGAAACAAGAACTTTATGTGAGAGTCGAAGCCCCAAAAGGGGAATTGGGCATTTTTTTGATAGGGGATCAGGGTGGTTTTCCTTGGAGATGGAAAATTCGCCCGCCGGGTTTTATCAATTTGCAAATTCTTCCTCAGTTAGTTAAAAGAATGAAATTGGCTGATATTATGACAATACTAGGTAGCATAGATATCATTATGGGAGAAGTTGATCGTTAAAATGATAATTGATACATCACAAGTCCAAGATATCAATTCTTTTTCGAGATTGGAATTCTTAAAAGAAGTCTATGGAATTCTATGGGTGCTTGTCCCTATTTTGACTACTGTATTGGGAATCACAATCGGCGTACTAGTAATTGTATGGTTGAGAAATATCCGCCGGGATACAACAACGTATTGGACCTGAATATGTTGGTCCTTTGGGAGTTCTTCAAGCTTTAGCAGATGGCACAAAACTACTTTTTAAAGAAAATCTGCTTCCATCTAGAGGTGATACGCGTTTATTCAGTATCGGACCATCCATAGCAGTCATATCAATTTTACTAAGCTATTCAGTAATTCCTTTTGGTTATCGATTATTGTATATAAATTGACCTTTTGTCGAAGACGAAAATAAGTCGTAGTAATAAATAATAAAAAGATCGGATCAGAAAAGAATCATGAAAATTCGAACGTTGACGTATTTTCATCGGGGCGACTGATGAGATTAGGAAAAGAGGACTCATTTTAATTAAAAAATTAACAAGTTTTTTAATTCTATTCTAGTAAAGTACTAAAATAAAGAATAATAGTAAGGAATGGCACCTTGATTCTATATCATCTTTTTCTGTATCATAGGATACAAATAATAAATTCTTGTTGTTTCGATTTTTTTTGTTTCAAAAACATTTTGTGTTTTCAAATAAAATCAATAATTTTATCTACGATTCATTGGAACAAAAAAAGCCCGGCTAGGTACTGACCAGGCCAGGCCGTGGAAATAAAATGACAAGTGACTGAAAATCCACATTTTTTTTCAATAGAAAAAGAAAGTAAAGTTTTTCGGTTTTTAGTTTTAGATATTGTGTGTTGTAAGATACTATCAATCGAAGAGATAGAGCCAATCCAATATTTTGTATCGTTTTGGCGGCATGGCCGAGCGGTAAGGCGGGGGACTGCAAATCCCTTTTTCCCCAGTTCAAATCCGGGTGTCGCCTCATCAACAAACAAAAGAATGGAAATACTTTCTGCTATTTTGCTGATATAACTTTATCATTTTTT